GCGAATCCAGGCCAGCTAGGGCTACAGGGAGACCCTGTCTCAAAAAGACCAAAAAAAATTTCTTTTAATTTATCCAGGTATGGTGGCACATGCCTTTAATCCCAGCACTTGGGAGGCAGAGGCAGGCAGATCTCTGTGAGTTGAAGGCCAGCCTGGTCTACATATTGAGTTCCAAGCCAGCTAGGGCTATAGAAAGACCTGTCTCAAAAAGACAAAAAAAATTTTTTTTTACTTATTTTTATTGTATATGTATGAATGTAAGCCTGCATGTAGGTAAATGCACTTATGTTGTGCAATGACCGAGGAGGTCAGAAGAGGGTGTTAAATTCCCCTGGAACTAGAATTACCAAAGGTTTTCAGCTGCCATGCTGGAAATTGATCCTGGGTCCCCTGTGAGAGCAGCCAGTGCTCTTAACCACTGAGCAGTCTCTCGAGCCCCAACTTGGAGGGAAAAAAAACAACAAATAACCTCTATGGTTGGTTGTTTTGTTGGAGGCAGGGTTTTGCTAAGGAGCCCGGTTTACCTAGAATTTGCATGATTCTTTGCCTCTTCCTCTTGTATGCTAAGATTATAGGCATGTTTCATCATACCTGGCTATTTTCTTCTTTACTTTCTTGTGTGTGTGTGTGTGTGTGTGTGTGTGTGTGTGTGTGTGTGCCTGTGTGTGCGCACGCGCATGCAATTGCCCATGTATGTACACACACAGACTAGAGGTTCATATGAGGCATCTTCCTCTATTTTTCTTTACCATGGGTATCTAATTTGTTGTTGTTTTTTTGGTTTTGAGACAGTCTCATGCAGTCCAGGCTGGCCCCAAGCTCCTGATCCTCCTGCCTTTACCTCCCAAGTGCTGGAATTACAAATGTGTACCTCCATGACTAGCTGTGAGTGACCAATTCTAGCAAAGCTTTGGCTTTTCTGTGGCCAGCCCCTGCCAGCTTAGTTTCAATCCATATGAACATGAACTTTTCAGCAAGTAGAACTTCTAAACAAAAACTCTTTGTTTCACTCACCCCCATCTCTAGATTTGACAGAGAAGGCTATGGACTGATTGCCAGCTTTATCAGGCAATATTATTGTATATTCCTTTATAGATAACTAAGCTCAACAAGTAACTTCTCGACAACCTAGAAGAGTTAAATTTATTTTTTTTTGCTTTTGTTTTCTTAGAGTTTAAAAATATCTTAATTTCCATTGGAACTAAAAACCCCTAGGAGCCAACTTGTCTAACCCAAAGACCACTTGCCACATGCCACCAAGGATAGTTATGAATGCAGCCCAGCACAGATGTGTAAGCTTACTTAAAACATTATCGTTATTGGGGCTGGAGAGATGACTCAATAGTTAAGAGCACTGACTTGCAGAGGACCAACATAATGGCTAACAAACATCTACAATTCCAGTTCTAGGGAATCTGACATCCTCTTCTGACCTTTCTGACCTCGGTGTGCATTGTATGACACAGGTTCACTTACATGCATGCAGGCAATACACTCATACATATAAAATAAAAATAATAAAATGAGATCTCTCTCTCTCTCTCACTTGATTGCACAGGTTTTAGAGTGTGAACTTGTCAAAATTGAACACAACTGTGATACAGTACAGCTAGTCTGTCTCTGTTTTCAGGAATGGGGCAACCCTTTCCTTTGTCAGGAGATCTCTAATTGTTAGAAAGTTCTTTCTTATCTTAATCGGAGTCCTAAGGCACTGTAGTATGCTTCAGTGAAAACAGCACAGGCCTTGGAGTCCAGATGTGTAATTTGTTTACATGATTTAAAGTTACTTATCTTTTTTTTCTTTTTCTTTTTCTTTTTTGGTCTTTTTGAGACAGGGTCTCCCTGTAGCCTCAGCTGGCCTGGATCTTACTATGTAGACCAGGCTGGTCTCTATCTCACAAAGATCCACCTGCCTCTGCCCTCTGCCTCTGGAGTGCTGGGACTAAAGGTATATACTACACACCTGCTGTAAAGTTACTTATCTTTTCTCTTTTTTCTTTTTGGTCTTTTTGAAACAAGGTCTCCCTGTAGCCCCAGTGACCTAGAACTTGCTATATAGACCAGACTGACCTCAAACTCACAGAGATCCACCTGCTTCTGCCTCCCAAGTGCTGGGGTTAAAGGCATGTGCCACCTTGCTGGGTCAAGTTACTTATCTTTTATGAACTTTATTTTTTTGTTTTGTTTTATTTATTTTTTTGAGACAGGGTTTTTTGTAGCCAAGGCTGGCTTTAAACTAGGTATGTGAAATATGTAACCCAGGCTGCTGGCTTTGAATTCCTGATTGTCCTGTCTTTACCTCTTCAGCACTAGTATTACAGACATGTGCTCCTATACTGAGACAGCCTTATTCTTTTTACCTGCAAATTAGGGATAATGATACACTTGGCTTATAGACATGTTATGCATATTAGAGATTATTAAGGGAAAATGGCTAGTGGTTGACACAGAGCTAACAAAGTAAAGGCAGCAGCAACTGTGCTGCTGTTATGACTTCACCCAAGGGTCTTAGCTTCATTTATGGAATTATATATATTTGCCTCTAGTCAAAACTAACTGAAGTTGAACCATTGAGATGGCCCAGTGGGTAAAGGCATTTGCCACCAAGCCTGATGACCTAAGTTTGATCCCATGGTGGAAGGGAAGAACTGACTCCAGCAAGTTGTCCTCTGATCTCCACATGCATACTCACATGTGTACTCACACAAAATACATGAACTGTAAACCACACTAACAAAGTCAAAGAACAACAAAACCTGACCAAAGTTTGTTGTTGTGTTATTCCTAAATGATCTTCTCTCTTGGCCTTGACTTTCCTCTCCTTGTCTATGTCCCTGTTTAAGATGTTCGTAGAACATGGTGCTCAAAACTGAAAGAACTACCCCAGGTGAGGTATGGCCTCCCTACTCTTCATACTGTTCACACTGCCTATGGTTTCTTTAGTTCTTTTGGTTCTTTATCATGTTATCCTGCCTTATCCCTATGAAAACTTACAGGAAATTTTCTAACAAGTGCTAAGTCTCGATTTTACACCTCTATAGAACCTTTTTATTTTTTTTTTAATTCAAGGTAAAAGTTTTTAAAATTATTCTTAACTACAAACCTATTAAGTATTAGGTATTATGTTGAGTTCTGTAGATGCAGGGGTGATGGGGCACAGTATCAACATGTTAAAACTGTAAGAGCCATAAGGAAAGGGATTGGGTCTATTCTAGTCACTAATAAGTCCTTCTTTTGTGTTCTGTTTTTCCTTTGTTTTTATTAATTTTAAACTTAGCATACAAAATAAGAGGTTTTATTATGACATTTTCATACATGTGTCATACTTTGTTCTAATTCAACAAATCTTCATTTTTTGAGATGATGTCTGCAGGGTTATGAGCTTAATATTTGTTGAAAGTAAGAATAAAATAATTCACAGGGCTGAAGAGATGGCTCAGTGGTTAAGAACATTTGCTGTTCTTCCAGAGAACCCAGGTTCAATTCCCAACACCCACATGGCAGGTAACAACTGCCCATAACTCCAGTTCCAGGGGATCCAACACCCTCTTTTGGTCTATGTGGATATTGTACACATGTGGTGCACTTACATACATTCAGGTAGAACACTCATACACATAAAATAATAAAATAAAAATAATAAAATAGCAAAAAAAGAATAAAATAATTTATAATGGAGGGGTTGGAGTTTTATTATAATCTCACTTTTAGTCCAACCCTAATGATTTTGGGGAGGGTACTTTTGAGATAGGGTCTCCCTGTAGCCCCAGCCGGCCTGGAACTTGCTATGTAGACCAGGCTGGCCTTGAATTCACAGAGATCTGCCTGCCTCTGCCTCCCGAGTGCACTATCAAACCCCGCCCTAATGATTTTTTTGAGACAGGGTCTCACTATATAGTTCTGGTTGGCCTGGAACTCGCTATATGGACCAGGCTGGCCTCAAACTCAGATCCACCAGCCTCACACTCCCAAGTGCTGGGATTAAAGGGGTATGCCACCACCCTGTTCTAATGATTTTTTTAAAAAATATTTTATTATTTTTATTTTATGTGTATGAGAGTGTATTGCCTGCATGTATGTGAGTACATCCGTGTTGTGCAATGCCGCGGAGGTCAGAAAGGGCTTCGGATTCCCCCGGAACTGGAGTTATGGACGGTTCATAGCTACCATGTGGGTGCTGGGAACTGAACCCGGGTCCTCTGCAAGAGCAGTCAATGCTCTTAACCACTGAGTCATCTCTACAGCCCCTATGATTTTTTTTTCCCCTCCAAGATAGACCCAATTTCCAAAAATAAGCTCTTGTGGAGGACTTAGATCTCAGAGTTAGCAACATAAGTTCATACTTTCTGAGTGCTAAACACCTAGAATTTTCTGAACCAAGTTCTATCTGCCCCTGACTTGCTATGGGGGAGAAAAGGCTCCTCAGGAGAAGAACGAGGCAATTGTTTGGGAGGACCTTAAAATACTGCGTTGGTCTTTAGGTTGCTCCATTGTGCACATTGGTTCAGTGCCTCTAGCTCGCTATTCTGCAGGTGTCAGATGTATGAAATTTAGGAGGGTTCGGTTCTTTAAAAATACTGGTAGGGAAGCCCAAGGACCCTGAGTGCTCTCACTTTTCCAAGTATTTGGGAACAGGTGAGGCACTGGTCGCCATTTTGCTATCAAATGCAAGGCAAAGAGCCGCTGGCGTCGTTCGGTAACCACAGCGACCTCGAGCCCCTCCCACTTCGCCTCGGTAGAGGTTGAAAACTACAATTCCCGTCAGCCGACCTCCTCTTCTGGCAGGCTAGTGTCCTGGGTTTGACTTGCCCACAGCCGGGACCCTACGCAGCGCCCTGTGGGAATTGCGGTTCGCGGAAAGGCCTCGCTTTTGGCTGTGCGACCCTCTAGAACTACAAGAGCTGTGAGCCAGCGGGGTGCGCACGCGCAGAGCTGAGGCTCCACCCCACCCCCAGCCTGTGCCCGGGAGGTAAGAGGGCGGGGGAAGGAAGAGGAGGCGGGATCGGGGCTTTGCGTTGGCTGCGGCCTGGCATCAAAGGGGTGGCCCCGGCGGAGAGCAACCCAGTGGCCCAGGCGATTATGGACCCGGCCGAGGCGGTGCTGCAGGAGAAAGCGCTCAAGTTTATGGTGAGGAGACAGTGCAGGCCGGGGAACGGCGGTGGCGTTGGCGGCGTCGCTGAGCTCCGGCCTGGGTCGCCCGCCCATCGCGGGAGGGGGCAGAGGGACCCCGGGCCCAGGCCGGTGGCGAGGCGGCGGGAGGGACGGGACGGGAGCTCAGGGGAGGACGCAGGGGGTTGCAGAGGGGACCCAGGGGTGGGGGCAGCAGCTCCGCCATCTTGTGGAAGAGAGGCCAAGTGACAGCGGGAGCTCCATCGGGGAGGGGGCTCCTGGCGGCGCGCGGGGGCCTGGAGGGACAGAGGCGAGGGGACAGTTACTGAAGAGCCGAGGAAGCCAGGTGGAGAGCCCTGAGGACGCTGGCCCTGTGTCAGGGTTACGGGTAAGGCCGGGGAGAGGAGGTGCATTCAGGAGTGGGAAATAGTGGGGAAATAGTGGCAAGGCAGATGCTGGGGACTGGGGCAAAACGGGCAGGCAGAGATGAATGCTGATGGTTTTAACTGAGGAAGAGCCTGAGCCGAGGGAGGCTTGTAGTTTTGTAGAATTAGCTGGAAGGGTAGCCCTTTGCCTTGAGGGTTGAATCCCAGTATGGCCAAACTAATGTTGGTAAACTCTGGAAGGGAAAAAGAGGCTTTACTTAGGAAGATAAGGACTCAGACCACTGGCTATGGTGACTGTTTCTGGGAGAGGAAGACAGTGTTGACTGTGAGCCAGTATTACAGATGCCAGAAAAAAAGATACATTCTCTACTTTGGAAGGACAAGATGTTGAAACGTGGTTACAGGAAAATGGGAGCAAAATTAATATCCAATAGGAGATAGCAAAAGAAGACTTAGACCTTAAAGTGGTGAGATAGTGAAATGTGGAGGCTAGGTGCTGTATCACTTCTGAGAGAGGAATGGCCTTGGAGAAAAGATTGAGCCAGGGAGAAATGAAAAAGGAGGATGTGTAGGGTAAATAAGGGTTGGGGGTTACCCAAGAGTTTTAGGTTGGAGTGGGTGTGGATTGGATTTTGAGGATATTTTTAATCCTCTTAGATCCTGTTTCTTTGATTTTGTGTGGTGCTTTTTCCTTTCTGTGTTTATGTTTGGCAAACTTGTTTAGTCTGATATTTGATGCTTTTTATCTGATGCTTCTTGTCTATCCTAGATATAAAGCAGACTTTGGTTATATCTAAATGATAGAATGCATAAATTTAGTGTTAACAGGTGGTGTTAGGACATTGCAGTCCTCTTGCTTTTTCAGAAGTAATTGTGACCCATCATTTCAGATAGTTTTCCTTTGTTAAGTAATTGTGTCTTTGTCTAAAATGCCATAACAAATTAAATAAACGTAGATATTAACTCAATTAAAATTAGCTTTTAAATTGCCCCATTCATAAGAGTATTTTTATAAAGGCTGGTCAAATTTAAAACTTTATTTTTTAAGCTGGTTGTAGTAGTGCACATAGCACTCAGGAGGCAGAGGCAGGTGGATCTCTGTGAGATTGAGGGCAGCCTGGTCTACATAACAAGTTCCAGGTCAGCTGGGCCTACAGGGAGACTGTTTCAAAAAAAAAAAAAAAAAGAACCAAAAAACAACAAAAACCCACTTAATTTTTTTAATTAGGACCTTCAAAAACACCTAATTAAAGTTTTTCATTAACAAAATTCTATTGCGCTTGAAGAAATTTCTTGAACTCCCTCCTTGTGCTGAAATTCTAAAATATTAAGAGATCTTAAAGCCCAGCATGGTTGTGCACACCCATAATCCCAGCAGTTGGGAAGCTGAGACAGGAGGATTGCCATGAGTTCAAGTCCAGCCTGGGCTATAGAGTGAGACCCTATGTTAAAAGACAAACATTACCAGGCATGGTGGCTCATAACTTTAGTCCCAGCACTTAGGAGGCAGAGGCAGGCAGACCTCTGTGAGACTGAGGCCATTTTGGTCTACATAGTTCCAGGCCAACTGAGGTTACAGGGAAACCCAGTCTCAAAAAGACCAAAAAAAAAAAAAAAAAGGACAAGCAAACAAGCTAGGTGGTACGCATCTATAATCCCAGTTCTTGGGAAGTGGCCTGAGGATCTGGAATTCAAGACTTGCAAGTTAGGGCTGTCTGGGCTACCAGAGACCTTCTTTAGGTACAAACACATCAACAAAGAGACCTTGACATTTGGGGGGTGGTTCCGAAGTGACAGTTTGTTTTCTCTCTATAGCTAGTTTCTAAGTTTAAGAACAATGCTTAGCTTTGTTTACCTGTTTAGAAGTTGACTCAGTACTAATCTGACAGATTCATGGAATAATGTGTGGAATAATAAGACTCACAGATCATAAAGACAATGTGAGATCATCCTTTTTACTTTCCGTTAAGCCTCAGCCTAGGAGCATTCTGAACTACTTGATCTCTGCTTTGTGCCAGTGGTTGAGGTGTTAATGGCCTCCTAATTGAGTTAATCGGACTTGGAAATGGCTAAGTAATAGTAGTTTGCAGCTTTGAGGGTGCCATATCCAAGGTGAAGTCAGTTTTTTCTTGAATTTTAGTTACTTTCATTTTTTACCTTGCCTGCTACTGTGAATGCTTTTTGAGAAAAAGCCAATTGGAAGCAGGTTGCTCAGAAAGGTACCTCAATAAGAAAAGCAGAGACGCTGAGATTCAGTATTCTCTTTCAGCTCATTAACAGCCTTATTATGAATCTGAGTAAGTCACAAACTTCCCTTTGGTGCCTTCCCTTTGGTATTATAACATCTCTATTCAGAGTCAACTTTTTTTTTTTTCCATTTTTAGATTTTTTTTTTTTAATGTGTATGAGTGTTTAGCCTGCATATATGTAAGTGCACCCATATTGTGCAGTGCCCATGGAGGTCAGAAGAGGGGGTTGTATGCCATCTCTTTCAAAAGTGGCTGTAAATTTTTAGTTTCACAGTTGAAGTAATACAGTTATACAATATTGAACTCTGTATAAGCCTTATAAGGATTTGGTGCTAGGATCCACATATGAGGGAGAACATATGTCGTTTTTTTGTTTGTTTGTTTTTTGTTTTTTCTGAGTCTATGTTACTTCACTTAGTATAACAGTTTCTAGTTCCATCCATTTACTTACAAATTTCATGATTTCATCTTTTTTTACTGCTGAGTAAAACTCCATCATATAAATGAACCACATTTTCATTATCTCTGTGAGTTCTACCTAGCAAGTTACATAGTGAGTATGTAGTCTAGCAGGCTACATAGTGAGTTCTGTCTTTAAAAAAAATATTAAACTTAGCTGGGCATGGTAGGGCACACCTTTGATCCTAGCATTCAGGAGGCAGAGGCAGGTGGATCTCTGTGAGTTCAAGGCCAGCCTGGCCTACATAGTGAGTTCCAGGCCAGCTGTGTATGATGGAAGGGTTATCCTTTCAGTCTATGGGAATTATTTTTACTGTTTGCCTTTGTTTTGACTTAACTGTCCTCTTAATTGCTACTAGCAACTTTGGTTGATTTTGGTTTGATTTCCACAGTTCAAAAGTTTAATGTAAAATTTGTTGAGAATGTCAAAATGAAATGGATACTGTCATGAATTTAGGTACTCTCACATCAACATAGTGCTTTGATCAGGGCTTTTAGAATGAAATGTTACTAATGAGACTACTGATTGAAAGTTGACTTCACACATAGTCTAGACTTAAAAGAAGGTAGTTCACGCTGAATAGACCATGTGCTGATGTCTCAGCCAGCTTTAACAGGTCCTCAAGGACCTTTCCATGGTCACAAAAAAGTATAAACCTCAGAAAAGATAAAGAACTAGAAGAGGGCTTGATCAGGACAATGAAAATGATTGAGAGGCTGTAGGCCACACAGATATTTAGAATTGTACTGGAGATAAAAAGATAAGCTAATGAAGAACTTGATATTTATTTAAAAAAATAGATAAGGGCTGGGTGTGGTGGCGAACACCTATAATCCCAGCACTTGGGAGGCAGAGGCAGGAGGATCTCTGTGAGTTCAAGGCCAGCCTGTTCTACATAGTGAATTCCAGGACAGCTGGGGCTACAGGGAGACCCTGTCTCAAAAAAGACAAAAAAAAAAAAAAAAAAAAAAAAAAAAAAAAAAGATAAGGATAAATGTATTCTTTTTAAAATTTATTTTTTATTTCATGTGTATGAGTATATTACCTGCATGTATGTAAGTGCCCATTGAGATCAGAAGAGGGTGTCTGATATTCTATAACTGGAGTTATGTCATGTGGTGCTGGAATTCGAATCCTAGTCCTCTGCAAGAGAAGCCATCTCTCTAGCCCAAATAAATGTATTCTTTTCCAGCCAGTCTCAAGATCAAGTGGGAGAAATAATTTTAAAAACATGTAAACTTGTTCTTGTTTGTTTGTTTGAGACAGTGACTTCCTGTAACCTCAGCTGGCCTGGAACTCTACCTGTAAAAACCAGGCTGGCCTAGATCTCACGAAGATCTGCCTACCTCTGCCTCCTGAATGCTGGGACTTAAGGTATATGCTAGCATGTCTGGCTTAAATGTCTTTTTATAAAGAGCTAGTAAGCCAAGTAGCCTAAAAAGGCAAATATTGCTAGCATAATGGTCCATACCTGGAATCCTAACCCTGGAGAGGCATAGACAGGCGGATGGAGAGTTTTAAGGCCAGGCAGAGTTCAGATAGGGCTTAAAGCCTTCATTTCTCTACATAAACCTCTCTTCTTGGTTGCTTGGTTTCTTTAAAGCATGGTGGCTATACTCCAACGGGGAATATGTCAGGAAATAGGAGATAGAAACTGCCCAGTCCTTTTAAAGTGCTGGATTTGAAAGTTCAAGATAAGATAAAAATAGAAAAAGAAAGTCTAATAGTGTCCCTGTGGTTAAATCTAGTCAAGGCTAATCTAAAGTCAGAGGGCTAGGGGCCATCCTCTGAGATCTGCTACCATAAATCCTTTTCTAAGATGGATGTCCAGACGAAAAATACAAATGGGATCAGCTAAGTTTTTGGGCAATAATACAGAATGCTTGGGAGGCGCCTTCCTTATCTTGAGGTGAACTTCTCAGA